GGCAATATGCTGACTCTCTGTAAACCGCTTAGAGAGGGCTGAAAGCCCTATGAAGCGGTATATAAGTCTACTGCTATTGCTATTGCTATTGGGCAGCCCTGGTGCCAGAGGACTGAAGTAGTTCACAGTCCCTTTGCTGAAATCATCCTTGGAATGCAGGGAGGGGAGGGAGACCTAATGCAGTGGGTCCTTCCTAAGTTTCTCTCTCTGGTTGCTTCCTAGGCAGCAGGTCTCCCCCTCCTCCCCCAAGGTCATCCATGAGCAAGAAACGGTGTCCGGATCTATGAATTTCTTGTGTGTGGTAGTTATGATAGGAAATCTCCTTTGAGAAAACGAATTGGGCTTAAAGGAGCGTCTGCCTTTCCTTTGCAGAACTCAGGATGAAGCGACGAACCTCCGATAGAGGCGGTGGGGAAACATCCATCAAGGTCCTCTGCCCAGGGATTTCCAGCAGTAACACAAAAAGAGCCGGGCCGTTCATTCTTGGTGAGTAAGAAGGAATTCTTGCCCCCAGGGATACTGTCACTGACTTGCACGTATTCAGTGCTGTAAGATCATGAGGCGTGCAGGGCTCTTCCTTTGCCTGATGAGTTCTTCCATCAAACAGGATGACATTCCTGGTCCCCGACAAACAGACAATCTATTCAGCCAGGCTGCAGCACTGCAGAACTCCTCAAAGGTGTCACAGCCTCTTTTCATCACCAGATGGGATGAGGATCGGAGCACATCCTGTCTCTAATCGCAGCATTTGTGAATAAAGGTTTTGAATCCCTTTCTGCTGTGGTCACTGCCAGCATAATTGTCCCTAGTACCCCAGTGTGACTTGCTCATCAAGAAAAGGTGGGCCACAAATGTTGAAACTACCAAATTCATCTTGAGTTGCACTTTCTCAGAAAAGAGGGCAACACAGTACAGGGTTTACACTTTTGTTTGTGTGTGACACTTCTGGCTCTGGTTCCAGAGCAGATGGCCATGACATTCTCCTGCTCTTATGCTGAGCCATCACCATTTCAGCTTCCTATTGGCCATCTCTGTGGCTTAAGGGAAAAGACATCTTGCTGGGCAGAGAGGCTAATGGGGCAGGTGTTCTATTTTTATGTTCCCAGGCCCACGTTTGGGCAACTCCCCAGTGCCTAGCATTGTGCAGTGCTTGGCAAGAAAGGATGGGACAGATGACTTCTATCAGCTGAAGGTAAGGAGCAATTTACACAAGTCATTTCCCCAAAATAACTGATACGAAAAAGTGTTTAAACCTAAAGATCTGCTCAACTGCAGAATCTTTAAAGGTGGATCGAATGCAGCGAATAGGAACAGGAGCCCTGGCGGTGCAGTGGTTCAACTGCAGTATTGCAGACAAATTCTGCCCACAGCCAGGAGGGCAGATCCTAATGGGGCTTCAGGTTGACTTGGCCTTCCAGCCTTCTTTTTTTTTTTCTCTTATTTTTTTTTTACATAGAAAGTTTTTATTTTCCATTTTCATAGCATATAATCACATGTATACTATTACATAGTCAATATCA